CTTTCAGGGTGCCGGGCATGGCCTTTCTCTTGCTACTTATCAGAGGGGACCTGATCTGACCTATGGTAAATCCGAACCTCTTTGATAAGAAGGTGTATTAGGAAGAGAGTTCCTTCATAAATTCCATTACGATGCATTCTGTCTTTGTTAGATGTAGGGGTGGAAAATCGCACTTCACCCATCCACTGTGATCATTTTAGACACAAAGCTCAAAAAATCAGCATTAACTTAAAAAAAATATATTAGCACGCTTGTATCCATTAAGCACCAGGGCTTTGTAGGCTCTAGCTGATGGTCTTTATTAAGTATACTTGCAAGAGGGGAAAAAAATCAAAGATAATTATAAATTCATAAATACATAATTCATCGGCACAAAATGATTTTAATGGAGTGGATGTGGAATTATCTATTTCCCCAAGAAAATAACAGAGATGTTCTGATTAAGTCCATAATCTAGTGTATGTGAATTTCTAGCCAAACTGATGGGGCACATTTTCTTTTCTGAAACTACCTTTGATAAGAAATGCATTACAAACTCATCAGTTTGGCTTCCTGTTAACAAAGAGACAGCCGCCGTCTGGATCATTCTGGATTCACAGTGAAACTGCCACACCATGTATCCTCCAACTAAAGCTGTGTGAGTTTGACAAGGGGCAGATGAAGGCAGGAGTTATTGTGCAGGGGTTTAAATCTATGCGGCAGCTGACGGTTGAAATAATCATCTATATATCGCTCTGAGCTAGCCGGGGAAAGGTTGAAGCTGTATATTTTCAGCATATCTAGTCTAATGGTTAATCTGTTGTCTTGGACGGGCCGCTCACAGGGTGGACTGGCAGCACACACTGACAGCTTCGAGGAATGGCTCACGGGAGCTGGGGTTCGCCTTGATCCTCAAAGTACCAGGTGGAAGAATCTAACTTAGCTGGAGCCGGGAGACGGGAGGCTCCCCTGACCCGTGTGCTCAGCCACGAGGACAGCAGCGGGGCTCGCGGCAGGTTGCCTGGTAGGGGCGCGTGTCGCCAAACCACGTGGGTTCCTTGCTCCTGACTTCCCCGGATCTGCAACGCTTCACGTGGCCTCCAAGTGCTTCTCTCTCTTGTTTGGCTGTCTGGGCAGTGTGGGAAGAGCCTTGGCCTTTTGGAAGGCTTGGGAAGCCAGGAAAATGTGTGACGATTAAACGACTGGGGGAGTGGAGGGGGACTTTTTCTGGGCAGGGCCAGCTAGTTCACCTCTTAGACTTCGCAGGCCATCTGGCCTTTATCACAGTTAACTCCGTTCTGTCACTGCAGAGCGAAAGCAGCCATGGGCAACAGATAAACAAGCCGCTGTAAACGGACAACATTTTATTGATAGCCACTGAAGTGTGCATTTTACATCACTCGAATGTGTACAAAAAGATTGTTACTCTTACGTTTCTGCCCCCAAACCTTTTTACAAATGTGAAAACCCTTCTCAGTTCTGGGCCATCGCCCGTGGATGGCGTAGGCCACAGTGTGCTGCGAAGGATGAGGCCACTCTTGGTGAGAGGGACGTGGCACACCTCTGCTTGCCCTAGAAGTTGGCCCCCACACACATGGACTGCACACCCTGGGGCCACAGAGAGGGTCAGGTGTACCTTCAGGCCTCAAAGCGGTCACCATCTGGTTGATGTCGGGAGTGGGGAGTAGGAAGAGAAGGAGAAGTTGGAATGAGGCTGTTTCTGTTAGACTCGGGTACCTTCTGCCCTGACTGCCAGTCTCATTCCGACAAAGTGAGAATGGTCCTCCGTCTCCCATAAGCTTCCTCAGCTCCAAACTGCTTAGCAGTCAGGCCAGGGTGTTCTTGCCTCTCTGATTGCAGCTGTAGATTTCCCCTTAGCATTCCGTCACTTGTCTCTGGGACTCATCTCTAAAAAACTAATACCTCACGAGCTTTGCTCAAAACGTCTCTTTGCCCTTGAGGCAATAGCGATAGTGTGCTCCGAGCAGAAAGAAAGAAAAGGCCGCAGACTACTGGGTCTTTAGAAGGAATTTTCTACCAGATACAGAGCAGGGCCCAGTGTTAGGCAAGTGATTCCGGCAGGTTGGCTTTTGAGTGGAGAAACTGAGCTGAGATTCTACTTCCAGGAGGCCCTGGTGGGTGCTGGACTCCTACCAAGTTCAATGTGGTTGGGGAAGAGGGTGGTGGCGATATGTGGATTGTGTCACCATCAAATTTGATTCTAGCGGACCCATTAGGCCTACGGTACTTATGTAAAAAGCATTGCATTCCAGGTCATGTGGATTCTGTTAATATATTTATATAGTGATTTTTTTTTTCTCTCTCTCTCTCCCAAGTAGGAGGTGAATTCTTTCATTACTCTGTGTTGATGGACTCAAACTTATACAATTCAGGTTTCCTAGGCAGTGAATAGAGCCAGAAATGTACCCTGTGATTAACTTCTACATAACCTATTGTTCCTTAAAGTCTCCCTCCCCATTCTCTTATTAGCTCCACAAAAGCCAGAAATGAAATAGCTGCAACAAGCCCCCCGCCCCACCCCCTCAGCCAGTGTGGGGTGGGCACTCCCTGAGCTGGACCAGCCCAGCTCAGGGCAGGTCACTGGCAGGTCCTTTTTCACTCACATTTTATAGAACGACAGATTATTGTTTTAAACCTACACCCTTTGGGTTTTCCGAACGAACGTCTCTTCTGTTTCTTGGCTAGAAGGTTGTGAAGTTAAGTTGCGATAATGTGATTGTTCGATTTTACAGTTTGATAATGCTTGAGATATTTTGACGGTTGAGGTTGCTTTGGTGGAGTAGCAACCTTTCTCTTTATGTTAATATTTGCATGATTGGCAATAAATAGTTTCATATGTTGCTTTGATCAAGATTGCCACCAAGTGGTCCTCAGACTTCTTAGAGATATAAATAGAGGTACTTCACAAAGTTCACGGAGGTGTGGGCATTCGGCCTGCTGCGTAAGATGCCCACATCCCACATCAGAGTACCTGGGTTTGAGTCCCACCTCCACTTCCCATCCCAGCTTCCTGCAAATGCAGACCTTGGGAGCTCAAACAGTCCTATCTTCTGCCCACATGGGAGACCTGGATTGATTTTCTGGCTCCTGGCTTTGGTTTGCCCAGCCCTGGCCATTCGGGGCATCTGGGGAGTTAATCAGTATATGGGAATGCACATGCTTTCTCTCTATCTCTCTGCCTTTCAAAAGAAAGTTCATGGAAAATGGGATGAAAGGAAAAGTTTAATGTGGTCCAAAAATATTATAGATCTTCAGGCCGGCGCCGCGGCTCACTAGGCTAATCCTCCGCCTAGCGGCGCCGGCACACCGGGTTCTAGTCCCGTTCGGGGCGCCGGATTCTGTCCCGGTTGCCCCTCTTCCAGGCCAGCCCTCTGCTGTGGCCAGGGAGTGCAGTGGAGGATGGCCCAGGTGCTTGGGCCCTGCACCCCATGGGAGACCAGGAAAAGCACCTGACTCCTGGCTCCTGCCATCGGATCAGCGCGGTGCGCCGGCCGCAGCGCGCCGGCCGCGGCGGCCATTGGAGGGTGAACCAACGGCAAAGGAAGACCTTTCTCTCTGTCTCTCTCTCTCACTGTCCACTCTGCCTGTCAAAAAAAAAAATAAAAAAAAAAACAAAAAGAAATATTATAGATCTTCAAAAGTTTATGATAAATGTGTATTGTCAAAAAAACTGCATGAATTTCAAAATTTTTTTTTGCACCAAAATAACTTTTGATTCCAGTTTTCCATGAACTTTTTGAAGTACCCATGTATTATCTCAATCTTGTTCGACTGGAAACTCATTCCAAGGGAATCACCCACTTTGATTGCCCTGTGCTCTGACACTGAGCTGCTCACTGCCCTCTAGGTACAGAACCTGACCCTCATGCCCATTTTTTCTTATCAGAGATGGACTCGGCTCATGCCCGTTGGTGGGCCCCTGACGGTCTCTCCTATGGGATTCGTCTTGAGACGGTAGTCAAGTGCTCCCTTGCAGCAGTTATAACACCAAACTCACAGGATGGATTACAGATCTGGCGTTTTATGGTTGTTGTTTTGATTTAGTCATTGCTTAAGGCAACATTCACACTCTCTCCCCAGTCTAGGCTGTGTAACAGGCAGCCAGGGTCCTGGCAGGTCTCAGATTTCAGAACAGGAAACAGCCCCTGTAAAGTGCTGCCATTCCATGTTCCAATCCCTGCTGGCCCTACTGTGGCCACGTAGACCTTCCCGGAGAGTCTCAGACAATATCAGAGGAAGGTTGGGTCAGCTGGGGCATTCTGTCCATGGTGGACTATCACATTACCAAGTGACTGTGTTACTAAGTCTTCCATGATTTTTCTTGTGGAAAAGTTTGGTAAGCCCATAGAAAACAGGAAGCACGCTATTATATCTCTGTTCTAACAATGTCTCCCTCCATTTTTCTCTTCAATTTTTATACAGCAGAATATGCAGCCTGAAAGAATAATAAAAACTTTTCATTGATGTCTCTGTGATTCAAGGAGGTGCTTCACCACACTCAGACCAGTGGCACACCCAAGCCTTCTAAGTTAGCCAGTGACATCACAAAAGGGGGAACTGGCCATGCCGGCGGTTCAAGTAGAACGCAGTAGCTTAACAGGGAGGGTTGCTGATGTCGAAGTAATGATGGTTTAGGAGAATCCCCTTCCACAGGCTTCGGGAGATCACGGGGCTGACTTTGCTGTGCAAGGGAGGTGTCTGTGTCCATGTATGTTGTGGGGGAGAGGGCAGCCAGGTATTGTTATTGTTGTGTAGAAGTTATTGCCCATAGGTTATCTTCTGAATTTCCACAGATATTATTCCTATTGACGTTGATGACAAAAACACAACAAAAAGAGTTTGAGGAGGTGGTGAGCACCAGGAAAAGGGGGATTTAGCTGGGAGGGACAAGCCTCCCTGTCCATCCTGAGTTTTGATGTTGAGAGTGCCTTGGAACTTTTCTATCAGCAGATTTCACTGAGGATTAATTTCCATTTTCTTTTCTTCTTATTGTTTGGCAGTCAAGCATGGAGCTAGATCACGCTATCCCAAAGACCCATTTGAGTGCAAGAACACAACTCCCAATTCTCAGCTTGTGAGCGAGCCAGGTGAAGGAGTCCTGGGATCCATCCCAAGTTTTAATAATTGCACCCTTCAATGCTCTACTTTAACGTGCTGAGCCCACTTGAAGAAGAGAGATGTCCTAATGCGGATTTCAGCATGCATTTAGCTTGTCGGGCAGAAAAATACCAAACAGGCAAAGCTTAACCAACAATGAATAATCATGAAAATGACCCTACCCTCCAACTCGCAGCCTGCTGGAGACTCCAGTAGGACGTCCTGTTAGCTAGAAGCCTTTGTGCTCAAACCACTTTGCATGATTCTTACTCCGAGTGATTCCAGTGTGAATATGACGTTACTAATGACCTGCTAAGTGTGTGCAGATGTGGGTTTCTCCAGATGTGGTGATTAATAACGTAGGAGAGATAGCCAGCTGACTCACGATTACAGATTGTTTGCCTCTCACTATGTTTCGGAGTTTATTTGCTTTGAACTTTTTTTTTTAACTCCAGCCAACAAACTCACCTTTATGTATCAAACAGAATCAGCCCCCGAAGTCTCACTGGGGAAACAGGGAACCGGGATTGTGGCCCAGGCCGTAGCTGAGCTTTTGGTCCCTGCGTGCAGGTACTGGATTATTTGGGAAAGCTCAAAATTGCAGTCGCTGCCCCATTTCACTTCAAGGACCCATAAAGAGGCATTAGTGAACCCTGACACGGTATTTGCAACCTGGCTAGGCTGATAAAAGAAGATATTTCTTTTTTTAAAAAAAATCTAGTAAAATATATGATCATTTTGAAGTAAGCCCAGGCTTCTGGCCAGTGTTTCTGGAAGACGTTGCCCGGCTTTGTGCTGGAAAACAGCACGCTGATGAAAAGTGGAGTAAAATGTTGTTACAGATGTTCGACTCTGCATTAAGGCTGTTGGAATTACCACCACATCTTAAATCAATTCCCAGAACATTGTCTGGAGGTTATGTCATTGAAATAATGAATCCTCTTTAGTCAAGTATAAGCAAACATGTTAAAACATCATTGTAACTTTAAATTAAACTCCAGCGCAAACCAGGGGATCTGAAGCCTCATTAGACTTGCCTGACATTTTTCTGGTGCTGAGTCTTTCCAAACTGTAAAACTGTTAGATTCAGTGCCTATTAGACAAGGGAGTGCTGGGAAGTTACAACAGCACATTAAGTGTTATACTTAGGGATGTACAAAAACAAGCCCTTGAATTTTATGAGTACTTGGAGACTGGATGGAGTTCAGCTCCTATAAAAATTCCACATTAGATTCCTGAGCTGGTTTGTGTTTTAAAGAAGCTGGTAAGTCAGATTTCTTTAAAGGATCATATCTCTGGGTAGCTTCTCCAGCACGAAGGCAAATGCAAATGCTGGAGACAAGAGGTGTATTGCAATTAGCAGAGCAGGAGGTTAAATATGAGCCCGTCAGTAGGCATTGTCATGAGGTAGTGGCCCATCACTCCCACTCCTTCATCGTTCCTGAATGTAAGTAAATTGAAATCTCCCTTTTAATTCCATTTTTATTCCTCTCATGGAGTCACAGAAGCCATGAAATGAAAATTATATTTTATAGTTTAACTAAAAGTTTTCCTAGATCTGCTTTCTTTAAATATGTAGACATGGATGGAATCCATATAAAGGCTAATAATTAAATATGGTTTATATCCTACTTATGAGGATGAAGTTATCACTGCTTCTCTTGTGGGACCTAAGCCATACGTAATGGTCCCCGTCACACAATGTTCATATATTTAAGCTGGAGACATTGCCCCCATCTCTGCACGGAACAAATCTGCATTTCCAAGCCACGAGTGCAGGAGGAAACCTTTGATCTTGAGTTGCGTTTAAGAAAACAAATCCCAGTTTAAATGCAATATGATTATGATGGATGATCTCTCTGAGTTGCAATGAAAATAAAGAGTTTCCTTGCATAGAAGGAGGCAGAACTGTGCCGCCACAGTGAGGTGTCTCTCTGGAGCTGGCTAACAGGTATGAACTTGCTAGCGTTCCATCAGAAGATCAGGCCTGTAAACAGCTAGTGACCAGCTGCAGAGATAATGGGTCCTTAATCAAAGAAGAGATTATTTATTACAGACCCTGTGCAAACAGGGAAGCAGAAAAATCCAGCAAAAATTCCAGTAAGAGTGACTTCTGTTCAGGTCTTAGCTTGTATCAACTCACTGTATAACTGAGCACAACCATTGGTAGTATAGTGGACTTGAATAAAGTTAGCCATAGGCAAGGTTAGGTAAAAGACCTTTCGGGTATTGCATTCGAGGCTTAAGACGACGATGTGGAAGAGAAGAACAGAATCGGATCCCCTCAAGACCGACTCTAATGAACACACACTCCCACACCCACATTCAGCCCAGCCTGCTACACAGCTAATCCAGGTCATCCTGAATACAATATAACAATTGCAAGTGACCCATATTAAAAGGTGAACTTCTATTATGGGTGCACTCATTGTAAGACTTTCCATTCCTTCCAAGGTGGGAAACATGCAAAAGTATACTTACACACATTTCTATCCCATAATTGCCTGGAATGCCCGACCCCTATCCTGTGAAAGGAAGATGGATTCGGGTCAAGCTCAGGGTCCCTGTTTGCTTGCGGAGAGATGCATATCAACTCCAAGTGATTTTTTTCAATACCATTTATGTGGCTTGTATTTTTTTCCTTTAATCTTTTAAGTGCTGTTTAGTCTCTGTGTGATTTGCTGTGGATACTCATTTCTGATAAGATGCGATATCCTCTGAGCCACATAGTCCCCGCCTGGAGCACTAAGTGACTGATATGGTAGCAGCTTGAGCAGAGGGCCTCTGGTGGGGGCAGGGGCGGGGGGGGTGGAGCAGAGGGAGCAGGTGGTGGAGTGAGTGGGCTGAGAGCCTTAGCAGGTGCTTTCTTGCCAGCATTCCTTTCAGTATCACTCTAACCTCACACCACTCTCTGGTTCCCTTTCTCTGTGTCAGCCAGAATTTGGCCTACTCCACACTGAAAGTAGGATAGGTTCGAACAGTCATTGGATTATCATAATCCCTTTGGAACCATGTGCCATAACCTACTACATTTATTTGGGGTTTTCGGGAAGTACCATCTAATGCATGCTCTGGTGTGGGTCTTCCTGCACAGCGTCATGTAGCTGAAATGGCATCTTCTCCCCCATCAAAGACACACACACCATTAACATGTTTCTAGCTTCTTTCAACACGGTCACTGCTAACATTTCTCTTCTTAGCTTGAACATAACTGCCATGCATTCTGAGTTTCAGGGGTGCTACCTGCTAGCCTCTGTTGCAGTCAACTCTAGAAATCTGAAGAGTCTACTTTTCCTTCTTGACATTACAGCTTTAGCTTGAATTATGGGGGTGGGGGTGGGAAGAGGAGGACTAGAATTTTGCTGCTGATGCCCTTGGGTGATGGGCTGGGTATGCATCTGCTAATTATTAAGCAGCGCTCCTAAAAAGAAGCATGATAACAAGCTGCTACATCTGCAAAGCTTTTTAGCAGGTTTCTTTGGGCAAGAGCAGTAGAGAGTGCCGTGCTGTTGGTGAGTGACGCTTGACATTGCTTAGCAATCTGTGTGGTTCAGACATTTGGAAAACAGCCTTTGGTTTCCCATCTCCCATGCTGCCCTCCATCCTGCCCCCTGTGCCACATTGTCAGAGATAGCTTTCAATGGCAGTTTCCTCCTTCACTCTGTCACTCTTCTCCAGCCAAGCTCGCCAGCCTGGCCCTCTCTCTTCCTCCTGTCTTCATGCATTAAGGAAGGATTCCATTTGAAGGAATGAGAGCTGAGTTGGTATGGGGATTCTGTTGCCAGCATGCACCAATGTTCCCAGTCCTGAGTGATGGGGACATTGGCTGGTAAGGCCCTGAATCCTTGCCTCTCTTCAAGGCTCTTTCTCTGGTGTGCAGGGACCAGGAACCTGTCAGCTGGTTCATCCGGAGAAGCAGCAGGCTGCCAGTTATCATGCTGCTTTGTCACATACAACTCTATTTCTGATTTTGGTTATGAGAAAACTCATTCGCTGAGCCAGCTAAGCAAAGTAACCTAAAGTAACTCGAAGAATACTGATGGTGTGTTCATAGATAAATCTATTTGTTATACAAGTAAATCACAATTTCTCCCACTCCCCCCACCCCGAAGGGGGTTGACAAACTCTTGTAGTCTTTGAAGTGCATGTTCAAAGGGTGGCGTGGAAAGGGCCCGTCTCCCCCACGCCCTCTAGGCTGGCCTCCCTGACTAACTCATTCGCTCTTTGCCATCGGGTCTAAAAGACAGCCATGACTTCTAGTGAGTGACTGAGCCTTGAGTGTGTGTCCTTTGATATCTCGACCGTGTTTTGCCCTCTGCCCTCACGCCCTTCCTCATCTCACGAGCTGCCTGTATTTCCAGTTGAAGATGAGCAGCCGTCAACGCTGTCACCCAAAAAAAAGCAGCGGAACGGAGGCATGAGGAACTCACCCAACTCCTCGCCCAAGTTGATGAGGTAAGGGGGGGGAGGGACGGGGTGGGGATGGGGGGGTAGGTGGCCGCGCCCTTGTCTCTCTCTAGCTCCCTCTCCTCTCCTGGTCCCCTCCCCACCCTGCCTAGGCCCAGAGCCGCCCCCACCCAGCCAAGTGTGAGCTAGGCAGGGGGGAGGGGAGCGAGACGCTTAGACGGCAACTTAAAGGCAGGAGTATTTACTCTGTCAGCTTGTCAGCAGTTAATGATAGAGCTGGAAAAATTCTGTCATGAAAAACAGTTTGAAAAGCTGTTTGAAAAATACATAGGCTTTAAAGTCTCAGCTGTCACCATGTCCTGTCTGTGTGGCTCCTAAACAGCAGTGGCACTAATGATGGCGAGAGCCAATCGGAGGAGCTGGCGGGCTCGGCTTGCCTGCGGCAAGTCTCTTTCTGCTGGAGCCCCTCCGAGGGCTGTTTTCTGTACTTAAGGCCATATGTGAGATGTATCATCACAATCAAAAATGAACCTGAAGATTACCTTCCTTTTATCCTGTCGATTGAAATCAAATTTCTGCTAATTGATTTTGACCGATAAAAAAAACCTCTAATAATCTGTGGACTTGCCAAAGCAAAGTTCAAAAGTAATCCCATTCTGCTCAGGCTAAAAGCAATATTAATTATGAAATACAGTGCACTCCCCCGCTTCTTAATTTCGCTCTCTCCCTTCTTCCTGTCCCCCCCCCCAACCCTCCCTCCTTCCCTGTCTCCCTTCCTCGCTCCTCTGCGTCCTCCCTGCTGCCCTCTTGCCTCCCTCCCTCTGTTCCTTCCTTCCTCTTTGCCTCTCCCTCTAAGAGATAGCAGGTGAAACCGCCTCTCACCAGAGCTCACCGCAGGGGCCTCTTCCTGACCTGCTCACCCTCCTCTCCCCTTTTTGTCTGCTATTCATCGGCCAACCACAGTGTGAATTTCCTCTGACATCCTAACACACACCTTGGAGACTCAGGACGGATTCCATCCCTGCTCACCCTGCCTGGTTCCTCCCATTGTGATGTGGCTTCCTCTCTTGGTTGCCGTTGGCCACGCCCCTCCCTTTGATAGCTGAAGTAAAGCAAGGGCGATTTCTGTTTCCTGCTTGTTCATCACCTCTGCATCTCCCTCCACGTGTCTCTGTGGGACGTGGGCAAGGGCAGTGCCCCGTTCACTTCACGTCCTGGGGGATGCAGGTTCTCGGTGGACGACTCACCCAGCCCTGTCCCCGTTGGCATCAGGACCACCTATTCCTGCTTAACGTCTGCCTCCAAGTTCTCTCCGATCCCCTGCACTCAGCCTTGCCAGGATGCGGCTGATTTACATGCTTGTTTACCGTTTACGAGGAAGAATAAAACGCACCAACTGCCAAGCTTCTCATTTTTATGACGCCAGTTGTCATGTTAGCACTCATTTCCTATTGACTCACCTTTAGGTAATCGCCTTATCTAATGCTAATAGCGTTCTCCATGTAAAGGAGAGAGAGGGCCTAGGCGCTCTCCTTTGCCTAAATTTAGAGAAGCAAATAAATAAATAAAGAGAAGTCTGAAAAATCTGAAACCTTTGGAGCCAAATTCCCTGTCCCTGTTTGCTATGTAAAGTATGGCTCATTTCTTTGATCTTGAGTAATAATAATTCTGAGGAGTTATACTGTTTTCATATGCTTCAAAGCTGTGTCAGACTTTTGCTGCTTAAGGGTACTTCTTTATTCTGTTGGCTCTTGGGTACCAGGATGACAAGTCTGCTGTATGAGGTGGAGGCTTTTTTAAGTCGTAGCCTTCAGCAAAACATCAAATTACCAAATCCAGGGTAACATACTTCTACACAAATGCCTTTCCTGTAGATATATTATACCATATATATTAAATACTTTAGTGTTACACGCTACATTTTATGTGCAATAGAAAGTGATGGTTTGAGGTAGCCTTGGGGGACTTTTTTTTCCACAAGCAGAAAAAGCTAGTGTATACCGTATCAAGTATGGTTTTTACAGGACTTTCTGCCCGAAGGCTTTTGTAAATAAGTAATGATCAACAGATTGGCTGTGGGTTTTTGAAAAGCATGCCTATGTCAGTTTGCATGATGGGGGAAAATTTTCAAAGTGGATCTTGCTTTCATTGCTTGCCGGAGAGGGGCTCAGGGAGCCAGTCATCCCAGGCTGGAGCTGTCTGCCCCGTGGTGCAGTGGAATTGCTAAACGTGGGTCAGGTGGTGGGTAGAACTCGCCATGCTACAGAACTCCGGCTTCGCAGGCTCGCGTGCGTTTGGGCTGCCGCTTTGGCCATGGCGGCTGTTGTGCGGCTGCTTTACCCGGACAGCCCACAACAGCCTCTGTTGCAGTGTGGCAGGCATGGGTCCTCCCGTGACCAGTCGGGAAGTCTAGATGCTCCTCCTTTGCCTTGACTTCCTGTGTCCCAGGTACCCTACAGACTCTGATGCTGGGCCAAAGGTGGACCCGGCTCCATTTTCCTTCCCTTCCAACCCATGAAAGAGAAACCCAACTCAAGGCTCTTGGGTTTGCATTAGAAGATCCCACACTGGCACGGAGGCTGCCGGGGCCTAATTTTGCAGGATCAATCTTGTTGATTGGCAGGAAACAGGCTCACCAGCTTCTGTGGCTTTTTCTAGTTCCCCTACCTCTTCCAACACCCCCTTTCTTCCCCTCTGCTTTGCAGAAGATAGGACTCCCAGGCCCTATTCCTTATGACCTGAAAAACCCATAAAGGAAGCTAATGACACTTGAAGTGGGTTTTTCAACATGAGTTTGTGGCTTGCTGTTGGAGCAGAATCAATCATTCTGAATGCAGGCGGGTTTTAGTGGCCTATGGGCAGTGATAGCGATAGCTCCAAGAGAAATCCCGGTGCCCAGCATGGGCTAGGATGGGCTCTGATTTACCACTGTGGCTTCTGCAAATAAAAACAGGCTTCTGGGTGAGGGTTCCTCCCGCATCATCTGCCAGCAGGGAGTGCCACGGGGCCTCTCCACTAATGGGCTTGTCTCCCCTTTGCTATGGGTCCGGGCTGGCCCTGGGTTTTAAGTGTCACTGAACTCTCTGTGTGCTCATCAGGTGAACAGCCTCGTTTATTGTGTCTGGATCCTGAGGTAGCGTGTTTCGTAGTCAGCCTGACAGAAGCAACCCTCCCTGCCAGACTGAGCCATGGCGAGCATGCGTGCCAAGCTCGGGGTGGGCAGGGGGGCATGCTGGCTGTGACAGATGGCCTCCGGCTGGACACTCATCCAGGCAGACAGAGCCATGGAGCTTCCCAAGACCTTCACTCTGCCTGCCTCGTTGATGTCTTAACATGAAATGATCTTGGGAGCCTCCCCTGTTTTTTCACTAAAATCATCAAGAATCTTGCTATGGGTTGGGCAGAGTTTGAGTGCCCCTCTAGGCTTTGTGCATTTTAACGTAATGCCCATTTAGAGAGTGAAAGCTGTACCCAGCAATGGCGAGTGGGGAGTGATGAGGATTAGTCATTAGGATGGAGCCCCCATGATTGAATTCTTATGGTTTTATATGTGAGGAAGGAGATAAGAAGACACACACACGCACAGGCACACGCACACTCACATGCACACACCCCTATCTCGTCATGTGATGCTATGTTCCACCCTCGGAACTCTGCCAGCAATAAAGTCATCACGTGGTACGATTCCTCAACCCTGTACCTCCAGAACTGTGAGCCACAATAACCCGTTTTCTTTATAAAATAGTCTGCCTGAGGCATTTCACCATACAAATGGAAATGAACTAATGCAAGCCTGTTGCCCAGTTCTCCCTGCTTGGTGGATCTGTGCCTCCTCAGGGTAACCACACCTCTCTTCAGATGCAAAGCACTGGAGGACTAGAAATGTGTCTCTCAATAGGTAACTGTAGAGTTCTTAATTTGAGGCCTCACAGAACCCACTGAACATTCAATGAAGGATCTCTAGGCAGTCTCTCTCAAAAAAGGAAGTATAATAGGAAGCATTTTTGTAAAAGAGTTATTTATTTAAAAGGCAGAGTGATGGAAGGTGGGGGAGAGAAAGAGAAAGTTCTATCTGCTAGTTCACTGCCCGAAATGTCCTCAACAACTGGGCACAGAAGTCAGGGACCAGGACCTCCATCTGGGTAGCCCACATGGGTGGCATGGACCCAAGTCCTTGGGCCATCTTCTAGTGCTTTCCCAGGAGCATGAGTGAAAAGCTGGATCAGAAGCACAGCAGCCTAAACTTGAACTCTGAGTTGAGATGCTGGTGTCTCAAGCAGCAGCTTAACCCACAATGTACTGGCGCAGCTCTTGGTGTAATTTTAACTACCACTGAAGCGGATTCATGGGTTCCTGCCATATGCATTCAGGACCCCCAGTGGTGATCATTTATTTCATGGCCACCTTCAAGGAGCAGCTTTCTGAATGATAAGAATATTTCTCCAGTAGGAAGGTGGTAAGTTCAATGCCTGAACTCTCATGCTGTGTCCTCAAATGGAACCCCCAAATACTGTGCCTTTCAGTTGGCTGCTTGTATTCCTTTTTTTTTTTTCAGATGAATTCCTACACGGTCCATGTTTGGTGAGGGCTGACTGTGTTCAAGGTTTTGTGAAAGGCCGCTGAGGGATCTAAAGTAGGATGGGTTGGATGAGATCTCTGTCTTCACAATACTAATGGTTTAATGTAGGAGACAGAGAAGGATGTACAGTTGACTGTCTGCATCCGTGGATTCAGACCTATGTTCAACCTAACTGTGGATCAAGGATATTTGGGGAAAGAATGTGTCTGTACCAAACATGTACAGAGGTTTTTTCCTTGTCATTTTCCCTAAATAAGACAGCATGTCAAGGCCAGTGCCACGGCTCACTAGGCTAATCCTCTGCCTATAGCGCCAGCAGCCCAGGTTCTAGTCCCAGTTGGGGAGCCGGTTCTGTCCCGGTTGCTTCTCTTCCAGTCCAGCTCTCTGCTGTGGCCTGGGAAGGCAGTAGAGGATGGCCCAAGTGCTTGGGCCCTGCGCCTGCATGGGAGACCAGGAGGAAGCACCTGGC